CCCCAAAACCCCAAAACCCCAAAACCCCGTGAAGGCAATATCGGTAGAGTTTAGAAATTATTAAATTAAAACTTATTCTTAGTCCCTAAGAGACTGAATGCGAAGGCTTGCATTCTCAGACATCTCTTTCATTGGGAGCCTTAAAGGGCATATTTAAAAGAGTGAAAATATCTTCCTCCTTTAAACAAGGAATATTCTTCTTTTTGCTATCTTTAAGTTTATGCATACCATGATCGGAAAGTGAGTAGCCTAATTTTAGGGCTTCAGTTCTCATATTTACATTAAAATTGCCACTCCCTGTGAAGTATAATATAGCATAGCCGTACTAGTCAGCTGGGTAGACTTTCAAATCAATACGCCTGAATTTATGATCCTTATCTAGCTGGCAGATTCCTTAGTAGCCCTCAGAACCAGTAGCACTTTTTCTCAAAGCCCCTAGTCTTTCCTTTAAGAATCCTTCTTTTTCTAGCTGGACAACTACTTTTTCATTAATGCCTTCTATCGACTTCCCATCTGTTCTAGTTATCAAGACGTCAATATCACCACAGAAATCTCTGCCTCTCCTGAATGAACCACAAGCCTATATCTGGAGGTGTTTTTCCCCATCTTAGAAAATTTTGAAGGCTGTCTGTTTAACTCTTTCTAGTAACTATTCTACTTCTTTCCTAGGTATTTTTTCTATGAAATCCTCGTGATACTTGAGGCCAATTTTTTACATGTCAGTGAGGAGATGTTGATTCTTTCTCAAATCCTCAATAGTCCTAATCTTTTTATCATAGAGCTTTTGGGCATTCTTTGGACCGATTCCCCATACACTCTCAATCAGTTTCAAGGTATTATGCTTTTCATCAGTGTCTATGAACTCAAATCTCTTAATTATTCCATCATCAATGAACTCTTTGATCTTTTTCCTGATTCCATCTCCGATGTTAGGTACTTTATCTATTTGATCAATATTGTAGATGGGCTCATTGAAAAGCTTGAGAGAAGTCAATGCCCTCTTATAGCCGAACATTCTTCCTCTGTCTCCTTGAGTAGTATAGTACTTTAATAATCTATCTAATTGATCTGCTATCTCATTATTAAGTGGTTTTTACTTGCCCTCCCCACCTTGATCTTTATCATTGCTATTACTACCCTTCTTTTCCTCCTCTTGATCATCCTTTCCTTATTTGCCTTTAACTTATTTTTTATCCAAGTCTTTAAGATCTCTCTTTTTATTAGATTTAGTTGCTTCTTGAGACTTTGACTCTTCACCCTTCGATATTTATTGTATTTTGTTCAAGTGAATATATTTTTAAAAGTCCTCAATGAAATTATTGGCTTAAATGCAAGCCTTGAGCCATTCGACAGGCAAAATTTTAAGTTTCTGATCAATTAATTTGGTAAGAAATTGCAATGAGATATTTAGTTCATCACAAAGTGACTGCCTCATTTCGTTTTAGTCTTAATTATCTGCTTATTGCTAAGATGTCAAAACATAGTCAATTTTATTAAGTGTGCTCTCATACTTTTTCTTTGGTTCTACATTTAATGATATCTTAGAATGCTTCTTACCTGATGTATCAATGATGATAACTTCACCTCCTTAATCAGAAAAATCTTTATACAATTTATACTATTCTGTTTGCTTTATTTCTTTATTAGGATTATAAAAGATAGCATTTTTGCCTTTAAATATTTGCTTTAGTTTAAGCTCATGATTACCGCCTAAATAGATTTACATTTAATATAAATTGTACCTGACTGTGATCTGGATAATGATGGTTCAATTGAAGATTGTTTAGAATTTTATCTCTTCATATCAATTAAAAAATAATTAAAATTATTGTCTGTTTAGATCATGATTAGTTTATAGTTATTGCAAATTTAATTGAAATAAATCAATCGGGGTTTTGGGGTTTTGGGGAGATCGGAAGAGCGTCGTGT